AGGGAGAGCCCGGAGAACGCGGAGAACCCGGAGAACGCGGAGAACCAGTACCCGGTATCGTAAAAAAATGGAAGACGACGAGTATTTAAATGCCCACCTCAGCTACTAATTATTACCAGGAAAAACTCTTGAAATTGACGTTTCATTTTGTGCGGCGGGGCACGTCAACACCAAAAGAGTGTGTGGCAAGCGGCCCGCGAGGGGGGCCTGGGAGAGAGAGAGGGGGGGGGGGGGGGGGGGGGGGAGATCGCACTCCAGACTGCAACTCGCTGGATTCTCCGTCTGTTTTCACTCAACAAAAGGGGTACCCGAGGTCGGAGTAGGAGTAGGAGTAGGAGTCCCTCTCCATCCCCATCCCCATCCCCATTCCCATCTCCATCGAAGAGTCGAAGAGTCGAACAGTCGTCGTGATTATGCACAACCCGAAACGATCGAACTGCAGCTCGTCTGCTCCAACAGATTAACGCACTCGAGAAATTATAAAAAAATAATATTTTTCTTAGAACTGATACCATTTTAAGCGAATTGGTACTCGGCGCAGAGTCAACAAAATGAAGAAGTTTCACGATCAGCGGCGGCCTGAGAAAATGCCTCGGGACCCCAGAGCAGAGCAGAACGAGCGGAGGGAGCGGAGGGATCGGCGGGGAGAGCGATGTGAGGCAGGTAACACGATCGCCAGCGATGTGGAGGCAGACGGCATTGCGTCAAGTGGCAGCATCGGCGAGTCGACTTGTCTGCCACAAGTCTGTTCCACTGCCATCGACTGCCCTGGGTCTGGGTCTGGGTCTGGGTCTGGATCTGGGTCCGCTTTTGGTTCCCAGGCAGCCCAGGCAGCCCAGACAACCACATGGGTTGGGGCAACTGCCAATCGCGGGCCGCAGCTCCGATGACGCTTGCACATTTTGACCAGAGCTTCATTCAGAGCCGACTCTGGCTCTCTATCGAGACATTGTTCAGTTGGATGCGTCGACACTTGAGTAAATTAGTTTCGTAGAACTTGTGGGCCGGCTGGCCGCACTGGCCCGCATTGTTATGGGGGGCACAACGATTCCAAGATTCCAATTCTAGTTTGAATAATTTCGCTTTTCACAGATCTATCGAGCACAGTCTCCCAGAGAACGCCCCCTAGAGAGAATTAAGGCTCTACTAAGATGCATATCCTTTGAGCGATGGCTTTGATGGTGATCTGTTTAGGGGACAGAAGGGGTAAGGATCAAACACCAAGGGTCATATTTGCCCACCTTGTGGTATCGAAAATGCTTCCTTTATCCATTTGAAACGCTTCTAAGAAACGAATGAATGAATAAATGAATGAATGAATGAATGAATAAGTGCGAGTACGAGTATCCCGCTCTGAAACTCGTTCGCCTTGGCTTCGGGGTTGCAAATTTATTCACACAGAAACGTGTAATTGCCCAGACACAAAACACAGCAGAGCCAGAAGGCATACACATACTCGGGCACTCACCAGCACACCAGCACACCAGCACACACACACACACACACACACACCACACTTACACGAAGACGAAATTGGCAGCACAAAAAGTTCTCTTGGCAAAGTTATCGGGGAGGAGGAGGAGGAGGAGGTTCTGGGGCGTCCCGGGTGCACGTTCAGTAGGTGCCCCAGTGTGTGTATGTGTGTATGTGTGTATGTGTGTGCGAGTGGGTGTGGCAGCCACTGCTAGTGGCATGGAAAATTAACAATTTTTCAATTAAAATCAATACCGAGTGTGTACTTGTAGTCGTAGTGCCTTTGCGTTCCCTCTTTCAGCACGGCACGGCACGGCACGGCACGGCACGGCTAGGTTTTGGATTTGGTTTTGGTTTTGCCTTCGGTTTGAGCCCAAAAAGCAAGCAAGTAATGGGTGCGAAACGTGTAGAAGTGGGGGTGGGGGTGGGGGGTGAGTTTTGGGAGGTGTCAAGGGTAATCTGCATGTGTGTGCGTGTTGTGCACATTTCAGGAAAATAGCTTAAGTGCCTGAAAATATGCAACGCATTCGATGCTGGCAACGAGGACGACAAGCGAACTTTGGCTTACTCTCAGTGTGCGTGTGTCTCCGTAGTATGTGTGTGTGTGTGTGTGCGTGTGTGTGTGTGCCGTTGTTCTGTTGTTAGTTTTCGGGCGCCGTCGTTGCCAGCCAAAAGCAGAATTTCTAAAGCCCTTTTTTTACTCAGACTCGACTCTGAGGCACGCACACACACTGGCAAATAGTGCCGTTAGTTTCACTGACACTTGCAGGCCCCGCACATGTCTGTGTGTCCTTGTGTCTGTGTACGGGCAGATCCTTGCCTTGCCGCCACTCCTCTGCTTTCTTCGCTTCCGGTTCGCTCTTCTTTTGCATCGTTTTGCGGTTGTTTGGGTCTTTTTCGAGTATTTTGTGGTTGTCTAACTGTTGAGCCCAGCCGTCCTGCCGTCCTGCTGTCCTGCCCCACTGTGCGCCAGCTGTCAGTGTGTGTGTGTGTGAGAGAAAGAGAGCGGGGATGGACTCCATTCGTGGGCACCGCAAACAACGTTAAATGCAAATTTACGCCCTTCTCTTTGCCCCTTTTGTCTGCCGCTGTCTCTGGTCTGGTCCACAACTAACATGCCCCATGCCCCATGCCCCAATCCGCTCCGCAGCCCCCCGTGTGACCCTCATCAGCTATACACACACAAAATGGCCGTACTTTGGCGCCATTGCTTCAGCCAGTTGTCCTCCTCCTGCTCCTTGTTGCTGCTGCTCTTGATGACTATTGCCGTTATTGCCTCAGCCAGCCAGCCAGCCAGCCAGCCAGCCAGCCCGCCAGACAGAGACAGAGAGATAGCCACAGCCATCGCAAGTGGATGTGGAGGCTCTCTTCCTCTCTCTCCCTTTCCCCCTTACTCCCTTACTCCCTCTCTCTCTCGCTCACACACACACACACACTTTCTGGCCAAAATTGAAGTGTTAGTAGTAATGCTACTAATTGGACTCGCTTTTAGCAACGCTTCATGTGCCCCCAAGCAAGCCGAAGGCAAAAAGCTCCTCCACACACACACACACAAACACACACACACACACACACACAGGATAAGCCATGCTTGGTGGTATACTACTCCAAAGTCTATAATTGGAAAATTTTACACACTCGAAATTCAATTTTGCACTACGACTGCGACTGCGACTGCGACTAGGAGTGCCACTGCCACTGCCACTTCCACTGCAACACAACCATTTGCCGAATGGCAGTTGAAAGTGTGGCACGGAGCGGCGCGGGTGGTGCGGTGTCCTTAGCTGGGTCTTAGTGGGTTAATTGCATATATATACAGACATATATATGTACGCTTTTCGGGAGGTGCCCCAACCCCCCCCCCACCACCCCAGCACCCATTTTAGGTACAGTTGGATGTTTTAATTAGCGGAGATAAAAGACGGAAAGACAGACGAATGGTGAAGGGAAATCCGATTACAACGATAACCAAAGCCAGGCCATGGTTTCCCTTACAACAGCTTGACTTGTTATCGATCAATGGCTTGATTAATACTTTCGATTATCCATAGATGAATCGATCTATTTCACTCATCGGAAGCTATCGAAAGTTTAGTGCTTGCTTCGATTTCCACTCTAGTTTATATGCCATTCCGATCATTTATCGATCGATTGGGCTTCATTCCTGTTCAAGCAATCCATTTATCGACGAAACAGCGGGTCCTAGGTCGTGATTGCCATCGCCAGCAATCAGTTTCCGATGGAGAGACCAGCCGCAGACCCTGTCAGTGCTATATGCATGGGTTTCCATCCATATACTATACGCTTGGTCTGTGCGTGTGTGCCTGGGCACTTGAGCCAGAGCCTGCCATTAGCGCACCGCAGCCAAGTCTAGTCCGATGCCGATGCCGATGCCGATGCCTATCCGATAGCGAACCCGTTCGACGTTCGACCCAGACTCCATGGCTCTGAGTGGGGCACTTGCGGCGCGGGCAGGGCTCTGAAATCGCGCCATAATTACACGAGTTTTTGTCGCTTTTTCTTCGTTTTTCTTTCTTTCTTTTTTTTTTTGTTTCTTTTTGCGGCTGCTAATCAAACAAGGACAGGGGTAGAGGCTGCTTTCGGTGTGCCTTTTTAAGGGTGGCAATTTGCCAGCGTTGAAGTTCACTCGATGAAAGCACACACACACACACACACACACACACACACACACACATGCTCCATCTCGCTCTGGGGACCATGTCGCTCCCTCTCTCGCGCCCGCTTTGGGTATCGGGACTTAGAACAATAACGGCCATTAAAATGCTTAATTATAAATTCGCAAACGTAGCTGAAAATGTTCTCCTCTTTTTTTTCGCCCTGTCTCTGTCTCTCTCTCTCTCTCTCTCTCTCTCTCTCGCGCTGCGGCCCGGCTGGGCTGCCCAGCGGGAGAGCCCCGGGAGAGCTGACATTGACGAAGCGGAGGCTGCGTTAAATGATTTCCGGATTTTGCGTTGTTCGCAATGCTGTGGACATGCTCCTTGAGGCCAGCCAACTATGCGAGAAAGCCAGAGAGAGAGAGAGAGAGAGAGAGAGAGAGAGCGAGAGAGAGGGAGAGGGAGAGGGAGGCCGCACTTGAGACACTCCTGCTCCACTGATTGCTTATTAAAAATGGTTAGCCCCTGCCCCCATCATGGAATGACGCTGCACACACAGAAAGCCACAACGAGGAGGTGTGAAAAATCAGAGCACTGAAATCCAAACAAGACGCAGCTGACGATGACAAAGGAGCTTCCAGCCCCGGAGGAGAGGAAATGCAAATTCCTTGGCCGCGTTTTTGTTTTGCCAACAGCCAACACCATCCAACACCATCCACATATCTCTGCATCGTCTCAGCGGATGTAATTAGTTCGTTAATTCATTGGGGAGCCCATTAATGGGCCTGGTCCTGGTCCTGGTCCTGGTCCTGGTCCTCGTCCCGGTGCGAAGACAAAGCCCATTCCATTACCCAGTACCCAGCACGGGAACAATGGCCTTGTATCGGGTTACCTGTCGGAGGTCTGACTCACCTGTATGCGATCCTCGGGCAGCTCCGTCTTCAGCGAGAGCATCTCGCGGGCATACACGTCCGGGTAGTGGGCCTCCTTGAAGGCCTCCTCCAGCTTCTCCAGCTGGTAGCTGGTGAAGATCGTGCGGCTGTGCCGGCGCTTCTTCTTTTTCTTCTTGCTGTTCGGCCCCACCCCGAAGCCGTTCAGCCCCTCCATGCCGAAGTCCTTGGGCGCCAGGGAGCCTGAAATTAGTGGCAGATACAGTATTGGTGGATCAAACGCAGCAACTAGCTGCGGGCCGACTTCCCTTCGGCAGTTCAACAAACTCCTTCCCCAGTCCCATGCCGTATTCTTGTCAAATTAGTTGACGAGACTCCCATGACCCACAGAGCGAACCGGAACCCCCCGCCACATGTGGCAGTCGGCGCTGAGGCTGAGGCTGAGGCTGAAGCTGAAGCTGAAGCGAGGCTCTAAGTGGTTTTGTTTTGTGTTGTTTTAAATATTTAATAATTGTATCTAGTTTCCCACTTCTCTGGGGATTGTTTTCTTTGCTTCTCTGCTCTTTTTTGTTGGGGATTGTCACACATCATCTTCGGTTCCAAGGAAAACCCCACTTGACATCCGAACGATTGAAAAGTGAAAGCAGCCAAAGGAAGATGGGATTGGAGATTGGAGATTGGGGATTGGGAGATGACAGACGCGGTAGCTGCGTTGACAGGGGTCTTGATGACTGCCAGAGGACTACGAGTCGCCGCCCGAGAGAGAGAGAGAGAGAGAGAGAGGATCCTTTCGAGCCGGCCACTTCTGGGCCCAGAGCCAAATTGCAAATTTCAAATCGCAAATCGCCACTTAGCGGCTTCGATCGAGGTTTGAAGATGCCTCAGTCCTCAGTTTGTATGCGTTTTGGCCAAATCAAACGCTGAAGCACCCGGAAAACACACACCATTCAGCGGTGTAAACGCTGCAGATGGAGTGCCATGTCTGGGTCTTCATGAGCCTGGGAGGAGGCAGGAGGCAGGAGGCAGGAGACAGGAGACAGGAGACAGGTTTTTTTCTTTGGGAAAGGTTGGGAAAGTATAGAAAACAAAACACACAAACATGGAGCGAGGGACATGTCCGGGGGGGAGACGCAGACGCAGACGCAGACGCAGACCTCGACCAAATCCAATTCGCATTGAAATCCGATATGAAAAATGAAGTAGAGATGAAGAAGCCTGTTGTGGCTGTCGAGTTGTTCGAGTGAAGCCCTGACGGGCAGTCCTCACCCGCCGAACCATCTCGCCGAACCCCGAACCCCGAACCCCGTCCCTTAGCACACATCGTTATGTTCGCTGTGGCTTGGGCATGGGAATGCTGGGATGCTGCATAGGCATATCGATGCCGACTTGATTTCCACTAAATGTGCAGCGGCGGAGTGCATAGCGACCAATCGCGTCTTGAATTACGGCCCAAAACGCATTGCAGCGCACGACTCCGGGTGTAATTATTTTCGCATTCGCTGGAAAAACGTCAAAAAACGAGACGGCCCGTGATTCCCTCAATTAGCGCAGCCAAATAGAGACCTCCATAGGCCCTGCAATCGCAGATACATGTGTGCCAGTGTGCATTTCATCAGCTCCATGAAAAGTTGTATCTTTTTCGATCTGCAGCCGCGGGTTTTTCACTTTCGGGGGGGGGGGGGGGGGGGGGGGGAGGCCTTTCCAATCCATGAACATTGTTGAACAGCAACAATTGTGATTATCATAAGCAAGGGCCGGGAATTAGTTAATTTCGGGGCCCACTAAAGTAGGCAACGGCAGATTTTGTGGCTCTGGCATCGCACTTTTAATGAGCTCCACACACAGAGTGGATGTTGAGCTTTATTGAAAGTTTCGCCCCGGAAAGGATGGATGCTACGGTGGAGGAGGGGGGGAGCAGCATGCCAACATGCCTGCCAGCACCCACACACACACACACATGCATCACACCCACCCTCACACACACATGCATCACAACATATTAGCAATTAAAATTTTCTTAGTTAATTACTTTAAGCAGACGACGACGCAAGGACGACGCAAGGACGACACGGACGACGACGTCAGCACGAAAATTTGAAAAAGCAAACAAGAACGAATGGGCGGCAGTGGGTGCCGACGCCTCGGATACCCTAGCAAATTGATTCCCTCTTATTCTTCGACCGATCAATGCTCATCGTTGGGTTGGAGTTGCAATGATCTGCGGGTAATGGCAATGGACTGTAGGGATTGGCTCGAGGGATGTTCGATATAGCGTAGGAGACAAGGATCTGGGCTATCTCAGAGCACCCTCTGCGAAGGGCATACGAAATGTGGCAGCAAAATGAATGGCGACAACGGAGCGCTGCCACTCTCTTTCTATCCCTTTCTATCCTGCCTTTGCCCTTTGCCTGGCAGACTGTACAAAAGGAAAGCTTTGTAGCCGCCCCCTCCCCCCCCCCTTCCACCCACCGAGTGAGTTTTATGAAATTTATGCGCATTTCACTAGAAAATTTAATTAGGAAATCTAATTTGCTCAAAAGCGCATAAAAAATGTTGTCGCTCTGGGTCCTGGGTTCGTGCCCCCCCCCCCCCCCCCCTCCTCTCCCACTCTGTCGCTCCTTGACTTGTTCATTTTGTAAGCTGCGCGCCATTTTTGTTAGCTAGCCGCAGTCTCCACGTGGCTCCACATCCATCCACACAACCATCTCCCCCTCCATTCCCATCGTCATCCTCTAGTCGCCCCCCATTCCCAAGTCCAACCTGCCCCCCCCCCCCCCCCCCCCCCCGCCCCTCGCTATGCATCAAGTAACCAACAAAATGACTAATTCCTCTCCCATGTGCCAGCTAGTGTGTCTGCATCGGTGTGCATGATGGCAGTGCGGCACTGTGCACATGTGTGTGTGTGTGTGTGTGTGTGTGTGTGTGTGTGCCGCATAAACAGTTGCATGGCAAAATACGCTAATAAAGTGGCTGAGTTGTTGGCAACGCGACGACGCATCGTCTCGGCAGCGCACTGCCGTCGCAGTCGCCGCCAGCGTCAACGTCAACGTCAGCGTCAGCGTCTGCGCCAGCATTGATGTCGACGATGGCGATGGTGATGGCGATGGCGATGGCGTTGAGGGGCATTTGCAATTTGCATTAGCACCAAAGTGGCTGCGTTTTTGTGCATGTGTGTGCGGGTGTGTGGCATGCCCCACCCCCTACCCGCCCCCCCCGCCGGCAAGCATCTATTTTTGCTTATTTTTGTGTGTGCTTTTTTCGTACTAATTAGAAATTAAATTGAATTATTTGCTTGAGGAATCAAACAGAAACCAGAAAACGCACAAAATCACTCGCACACACACAGAGAGAGAGACGGAGAGAGAGAGACGGAGAGAGAGAGACGGAGAGTGGGGCAGCAAGTGGGGACAGTAAATGCTTCAATTAACATCTTTGATACACGACAGCGAATGCTTTCTGCTGCCCGAAGAGGGTCCAGGGTGTTTGGAGAGTCATGCCCCAAGAATGATGGCACATCCTTAGTCCCTGTATGGGAAGGAATCGACCTCTTAAGAATCGACTAATCCATTTCATTCATAAATTAAACTGTTTCCTGTGCTCTCCTTTGATATTCCATGGCTTAACGATTCATTTTTGTGGCTGGCTCCACTTTCCCTGATGCTCCGTCGGCGGTCGTCGTCGGTGGATATGTCCTTCAAGCGCCTTCGTCTGGAATTTATTCACGAAACTCGCTTTGACAACGGGTCTCCGACATTGTCCAGCGTTTGTTCCTGTCTAATTGCTCTTGTCTGTCTCGCTTTCTCTCTCTCTGTGTCTGTGTCTGTGTCTGTCTCCCTCTGGTGCAGGACAGCCCTTGGCCCCCTCCGCTCCCTCCGTTCCGCTCCTGTTGGTCGTAATTTGCGCACTCAATGAAAAATTGTTAATTAGATTCCTTGCTTGTCGTGTGACTTCGTCTTCTCCTGCTGCCACTGCCACTGCCACTGGCACTGCCTGCCTCTCCATCGGGTCCATTGTTATACATCGTTCCTGCTGATCCCCACTCCGCCTCCACCTCCACCTGGTGGCATAGTGCCCCTCTGGGTTGCAGCATTTTAGTCAGCTTTGTGTCAAAGTTGGTTAACGTGATTGCTGTTGCCATATTGCCCGGCCCCGGCCCCGTCCCCGGCCCCACAACCCTTTCCCAGCCCTCGCCACCTCTACTTTGGGCCACCTTTCCGCTTCACCGACCCAAGCAAACTCAACGAACTTTAAGTGCAAAGCGCTTTGCGCCAACAACAAACAAAACTACAAAGACAACAACAACAACAACAACAAGAGGAGTGTCACAATTTTTGCACTAAACTTTTTGCTCTTTCACTTTTTCTGGGCCTTCGGCGGAGTCTCGACGCGGTAACGATGTGCAGGAAACAGCACGGCTGCCGACCATGAGGGAAAGAGGGAAAGAGATGGACACCAAGGGAACACGGGGGCAAGAGTGAGAGAGAGAGAGCGAGCAGAGGAGGAGATTGATCCGTGAATGCTCTCCTGGAACACGATCGAATCGACTTCTGGGAGCGGACAGAACACGTGGAAGTCCTTTTGTACCGCGCTGGAAATCCCTCCATGCCAACTATCGGCTATCGGCTATCGGCAACCACGAAAAGTTTCCCGCTGTAGAAGCCATGTTTTCTATAAAGAATGATTCCCTATTTTGGCATTAGACTGCACTCCTTTGCATTTGCATTCATTCACTACCATTCATTTACCCATTAATATTGGGCACTCGTTTGGCTTTCTGCCTGGAAACAGTGACATCTCCATCAACGGATCATATTTCTGCTGCCGATTCTTTCCCCGAATCCAATCTCCTTTGGCGCACAGGTTGTCCATCCACAGCCACAGCCACAGCCACAGCCACATCCACCCTTGCAGCCCCCCTCCACGGGCGTTGACATATTCACATTCAGACAACGGGTGCGATGTGAATTGCGATTGGTTTCGCTTCACACATGTCATCGTCATGCGAGTGAGTGGATGATTCGAACGCTGTTGTACCCTACACCCGGGGGTATTCCGATTCCCAGCTCTAAGCAGATCTTTCCTTCCTCTGGACCACATAAGTCTAGTGAAATACTCGCTAAGCATTGGAGATACAAGCCACAGCTCGATGGGTAGGTCCGATATCCTTGGGGTTCCCGATTCCGATTCCCAACGAAGTCCGTGGGCAAGGGTATTCAAGGACCTTCTATTCAGAGCTTTTCTCGTGTCTTACGTGTTTCAATTAGGACCCGGCTGGTGGGGCGGGGAAGCTGCCATCGGATTCGCCATGGCCAGCAAATAAAACTTAGACACGCTCGGGAAGGATTCGTGGCACAATGGAAGAGAAAGGGGGAAAAAAATGCCAATTAAAATCTTAGCCATGACAAGTGCATCACGATGGGGCGAGACAAGTGCAGCAGACACCGGGCGAATGTCATGTGGGTGGCTCTCCGCCCCCGCCTCCGCCTCCGCCTCCGCCCCTCGCTCTGGGGCCCTCCCACTGGCCCGAGCACCCACTCGGGGCCACCATTCAAGGCAAATTGCCCTACTTGTCAGTCTCGGCTCATTCTGTTCGCCGTCGTCTTGGCCTTTGTGTAATCGTGTCTTGCAATCTGCTCGCAGCGCAGCAAATGGCTCAAAAGTGGCTCTCCCTCAGCCCCAGCCCCATCCCCAGCCCCAGCCCCAGCCCCAGCCCCAGCCCCAGCCCCTTCATCTCCATCTTCATCTTCATCTCCATCTTCATCTAATGTTGTTGCTGGTGGTGCCGCCTCAAGTTCCCGACTCTGGAAGAATGCAGGCGTCGAGTGGCTCTGCTACTAAAGGAAGACTTAAGCAGGGCACTTCGCCCCATAAAAACAGAATAGAAAGAATGCGCGGCCAAGTGGCCAAGTGGCCAAGTGGCCAAGTTCGTGTTCCCCAGTCAGAGATTAGAGTCTTAGAAGGGCCTACCTACAACAACACACAGAAACAACAGCAACAGCAACAGCAACAGCAACAAAAAGGCAATTAAGTAGGCAACAGACAGAAACGAAAGTGGCTCAAGATTGAGGGACTGACAGTCTTCCATCAGCTTTCAGATACTCGTACATATGTACTAGAGAAGGCCTTGGAAATGGTTTAGGAATGACTGAAAGAACAACGTAAAAGACTGTATAATCCATTGATAAATATATGATCCATAGATGCTATCGAGATGCGAGCTTTCTTCATTGGTTTAAGCCCCTTTCTTTTCCAGGGGGTTGTGGCAAGGTAGAGAGCACTTCTCTCAATCCTTCCTGAGGATCGTTGGTTATTTTATTGGTGCTCTGCAGATCTCTCAGTTGTTTCTTCGGGGATCCCGTAGATAGTTTCTTCCCTCAACTCACTCATTGGTGCCCCTCTCCCTCTCCTGCCCCCCCTCCACCGCCGCACACCTTTACAAACCACTTGGCACTCCACAATCCATCCATCCATCCAGCCAGCCATCCCCCTTTTCGACGATTGCCAGAGCGTTTCTTATTAGACAAGTTTATGTGAGCGCTTCGCATTTCTTTCGCTTTGTTTTCGGCTTGCATCTGTATGTGTGCCTGCGTGTGTGTGTCGAAAGGGTTAAGGCAAACGGAGGACAGGACATGTGTCCTACGGGGAGATGTATGCGCGTGCAAATTGCGTATAAAAGCGTATGTTGAAAATATTTATTGCCCGTTGCGAATGCAACAAAATGAAAATGAAAATTTCATTATTTGACTTTTGTCTCTCGCTCTCGCTCTTTCTCTCTCTCTCTCTCTCTCTCTCTCTGCTGGCTCTTTCGCACTGTATCTCCCCACATGTGTGTGGATTTTTAGCTTCTGGCTTTTTTTTGTTAGCTAAATTGTTTATTTTATTAGCAATTTGGGAAATTTATGTGCCTGCCAGGCGAAAACCCTTGCCTCCTGCCTGGCCACGCCCCCGCTGCTGGGGCAAGCGGTTCGAAATGAAGCGCAGGAATGCCCATTAATTAGGGCAGACACACGAACACAGACAGAGGCAGAGGCAGAGGCAGAGAGAGAGAGAGAGAGAGAGACGGATGCAGATGCAGATGCAGATGCAGAGAGAGAGAATGAGTGGTGCTGCCCTCTGTTGGCCAGGGGAGGAGATGGAGGGCCTGGGACTCGGTCAGCGCGTGAGCTTTTCCCCCTGCCAGGACTGCATTGTGGTCGGCGCATTGCCTACCTTTGGGCGCCACACTTAATCTCCGCCACAGCAGAGTCCTGCCGCCCGACCCCGTCCGAGTTTCGGGGCGAGAGAGCGAGCTTACCTGGCAAACACGTTCCGGCGCCTCCCGCGAAGTTCTTCAGCTGCGGAAAGCCTAAGGAGAGAGGGAAACATTGATTAAATTAGACACGGAACAAATACTTGTACAATTATTACACATTTGTATGCATTCTAGGAACGCTAGGACGTGCGATCCCAGAGGGGGATCTTCATTGGGGACTCCCATTCTGGTCTTCAGTGCGAGTCTGCACTGTGCTCAGCACTCGCCGAGGGCGACGGGTTATTTATTAGCCATACAAAGGCCGAGGAGGCCCCTCCCTGGGCAGGGCAGACACTCAGAAATGCAAATCGATGCCCAGACAAGCTCCTCCTCGTGCACCACCTCTGCCCCTGCCCCAGCCCCTGCCCCAGCCCCTGCCCCTACCCCTGCCTCTTTCAGGGGAGTGACATATCAAAGCAAAATCAAATTTGACAGACAACCGCGCTAATTTCTGGTCGATGTTTCATTGTTTCAAGGCGTTTGCTCCGTCTCGTCTCGTTCGGGTTCGGGGTCTCGGTCTGGGACTGGGACTGGGACTGGGCCTGGGCTTTGTGTGCCTCTGCCTCTGCCTCTGCCTCTGCCCCTGAGCCGCGAAAGGGGTTGTCCCTGCCCTGGCATTGCCCTCAATTGTTTCTCGCTGACGCATTTCGAGAAACGATGCCAAGTACAATGGGACCAGCTCCAGCTCCAGCACCAGAAGCAGCACCAGAAGCAGGGCAACCGCTTTAGCTCGAGTCGCTGTCGCTGTCGCTGTCGACATAGTATGTGGTGTGTGTAGGTTCGTAATTACGATGATGATGATGTTTGGAACAAGAACTACATTTATTAGCTCATGGTTCTGGGATCGCAGCAGCTTTACCAGGAATTCCAGTTACGATTTCTTTGCTTCAGCGTCCATGAAATCCGATACTGCGCAAAATTTCTCTAAAGAATTGCGAGGAACAAAAACAAAAAAACCCATGGCTCTTGAAGAGAGAGAGAGAGAGGGGGAGAGGGGGAGAGGGAGTACAGCTCAGTACAGTCGAAACGGGGGAACAAAAATGCAAGTGACGAAGTATTTATAAACTGATTAACGCCAAACAATAGCTGATATGGGTCGAGCGGCCCGCGGCCCGCGGCTCGCGGCTCGGGGGAGAGCATTCATATTGGATTTAGAGCAAGTTTCTAATCATCGACTGGAGAGCGGCGTGGATAGCGGCCCCAGACCCCACACAGAGCCCATGGCTCGTGGCCCCCAACTGCCGCCGGCCCACGGGTCGCATGCAAAGTAGCCGCTTCAGTGTCCAGCGAAAGAGTCTCCAAGTGCTTCGCGGCGACGCCCCAAGGCACACCCAGCAAGCAGTTCGAATGGCTGAGCTCGAGTGGAGCCCATCGATGGACCAACCTATGGGCTCTTTATTGCAATCCTTTCCGATACACATTTTGGGGTCACATTTGTCAGTCTTCAGAGGCATCCTGGGGCGGAGAAAAGGAGGCCCGTGTGGCCCGTCAGATCTCACAATAGTTGACCAAGGACGAGCGGGGGCGAAGGCAGCGAGCCTCCAGGGGGGGTTTCTTGCGCTTCGGCGGCTGCCGCGGGCGCAGCAAAATCGTGTTCATCGCCCTCCGCAGGTGCTCCAACGAAATGATCCTGTCTCCGCCGTATCTGGCTATGGCCTGGGCCTGGCGCAGTCTCCTTCTGGCCTCGTCTGTGCTAGGTAAGGGCTGTGCTAGATAGCTGTCTGATCACTGTTTCGCTCGGCCAGCACTTACCGGTAGGCATTTCGAAGAGGACCATGGTCAGCGCGTGGTCTGGCCACATTTCCGGCTCCAGGACCCCGTCCAATATCGAGCGCAGCTTGTTAAAGTACTCTTCGAACTCATCCATTTTTGCGATTTCCCAGCAGTTACCTGATATTTTCGGACGTATGACAGTCCAAGCTCCAATTTCAAATGTCATGAAAGTGGGAAAGGGTTTCTGGGGCAAGGCCAAAAAGGAAGAAACTCCTTTGCTTTTCCTGTCAAAATCACAGTCCCTCTCGCTCTACGACATGCCGTTCCTCCGTAGTCGAATTTCCATTCGATCATGCCCACAAATGTAACGATTTCCAGGCCCAAAAACTGCTGAGCAGCCACTCCAAATAGCCATATAGATGGCCAGTGCTGCATAATTAGCAGTCGCGCCGTCGCTCCAAACAGTGAAAGCCACCAGCTGATGGCCGAATGGTCAGAACTCCAGCTCCAGCCCCAGCTCCAGCCCCAGCTCCAGCCCCAGCTCCAGCTTCAGATCCCAATACGAAAGACCGTTTCGAGCCGCTGAAGAAGCAGAAGGCGAAAGCAGCCGAGGAAACTCAAGTGCCAAATCGTGTTTATTTGCGTTATAAAATTAGCGCAGCGCCGCTCAAGTGTGGCCCCTGCGCGTGAGTGTGTCACTGGGGGCCAGTGGCGTCTGCCACGGGGAGAAAGGAGCACCAGCAGGGCGTCCCCCTGCTATGTGCTCGTATTGGAGGGGCTCCCTCTCTGCCCCTGGGTTCCAAGCCCGTCTTGAACCCCCCTTGGATGTCCGCCAGCCCCCGACTACGCCTCTGGCGTGCAGTTTGTGGAGCTCTGGGCTTTTCGGGGCACGAATTGCCCGTCTCTGATTGCCATGTGACGCGGCACAAAATCTAGCTTATGAATACATGAATACGAGTGTAACCACGACTCTGCCTATTATCGCCGACTTGTATTATTATTTTAATGTGTGATTATGGTGAGTGAATTTCGTACTCTTTCACTCTACTTTTTGTGCGGAACAAATTAGAAATAATTGCGGCTAATTCCGCTGGATGTGTATCGCCGATTGTGAATCATGCCACGGCTGGGACTGCACTCACACTCACACTAACACTCACACTCGCACTCATTCACTGACTCACTCGCACAGCAAATTAACCCCTTGAGTGGCACTCGGCACTTCTTGTTCGTCAAGTTGCTTTAATTGACTTTTAAATTTGCAAAAAATCAAAGCGAAAAAGTGTGACAAAGTGCCGAATGGCGAATGCCGAATGCCGAAAAAAGAATGGGTGCGGATGGGCGGATGGGCGGATGGGCGGATGGGAGGGATAGAGCCGGAGGTTAGAGTGCAACTGAAACAATAACTGCACTCGTGCCTCGCTGTCGCTGGCGGCATCGAACATTTTCACACCTCAGACAATGCCCCCGAGTGGCCAAGGGTGGCCGAGGGTGGCCGAGGGTGGCAGGGGGGGGCGCACTCGACTCGCCGGGCGGTCGGCCGCCCCACTCGATGAAGGGCGTTTCTCCTCCCACCTTTCCCATGTATGTTTTCCGCTCCTGTCGCTGCTTTTTGGAGGTTCTTTCGTCGCTGTTGGCTTTTACTTTTTTTTCTAATTTACGTCAACGCAAAATCAAAGCAAAGTCAAAAGACTCTGTCATGTCTGCTCGGGGCCTGGTCGCAGACCGCACACATTGTCCGAATGCCCCAATGCCAGAGCGGGGCGAAACTACAATTAAGAATATTTTTATCATCTGCGAGAGGGTCGGCCACTGGGGCTATTAGCAAAGTGGCTCAAATATCAAAGGGCAGTGCAGTCGGTGTCGGGGTGGTGGTCGGAGCCGCTCTGGGCCACCGCTGACGAGCAGCAATTAGCGGCAGTTGGGGCGGCGGACCCCGCCAGATTGGGGCTGCAATAATTGATTACTAAGTGGCGATAATTAGATTGGATTATGAGCATTTGACAGTAGGAGTGCGGAGTATGGAGCTTGGCATGTGCATTAAATGGAGCCTTCATCGGTGCTTCCTCTGGCAGTGTGCCACGGGCGGCGCCTTGGCGCTGAATGGTTAATTTCGAGCCCCAAGTAATTTGCCAAAATATGCATTTGAGTGGGGGAAATCTTTTGCTATCAATTTGCCAAAAACACATGCGACTGCGGCTGTGCGGGTGTGCGGGTGTGCGGGGCAGGGTCTGGGGGAGTGCTTTGGTGTGTCTGCAAACACATCAACACGACTGTCACAACAAAGCGAGGCAGAGGGAAGAGGGAAGAGAGGGAAGAGAGGGAAGAGGGAGAACCAAAGTGAAAATTGTCAATTAAATGCTGGGGAAAAGCACAGAGAATCGTTCTCTTTTTTTCTTTTCTTTGCCGTTCCTGTTGTGGGGCAACCAATTTTCCGTTTTCCGATTTCCGATTTGGTTTTCTCCTGCCGTCTGTCCGTCGCTGGTAAAAGATCAAAGGCACTTAATGGCCAGGTCGTGAGGCGCCAAGCTTTTGCTTGGGGCACGGCTCCCTCCCCCCTTACCCCCCTCGCACTGGGGGACAGGAAATCCGCCCCCGAAAGCCACGCAAGAACTTGATGCGATTTTTTAATTGAAGAACGGGGCACGCAAATGGGTAAAAAATCAACAGAGAACCAAATGTGTTTGCCATACGTATAAAGAGCAGGGCAGAGCAGGGCAGGGCAGGGCAGGGCAGGGCAGGGCAGAGCAGAACGAGTCAACAATATGCAAAAATTAAATACGATGACGCGAATGAAAGGCAGAAAGCCAGAAAGCCAGAGAAATAACAAAACTAGCCACAAAGCCAGAGCAGAGGGCCTCGAATGGGGGACACCCTAAGCGAAGATATAGAGGGTTTCCAATAGGGGTGGATATAGGGGAAGTGGGGGATAGTTTTAGACCGGTTGCGGTTGCGCCTCACTCAAGGAACTCAAGGAACTCAAGCAACTCAAGGAACCATTTAAGAATCATTACTCAGGCAAGAACGAGGAATATATCCCTGAAAAATACATAGCTTAAGGATAAGTAGTTGCTGTTTTAAGCTTCTCGGAAGCCTATCGCAGTTTCTTACATCTATATTTGTTGCACACTCTGCTCTCCTCTGGGGCAAGGTCTCTCAGTGGGCCCCACATGCCGCACGAAGGCCGCTCCAACGACAAAGTTCTTTCTCACATTTATTAAACGCAAATTGCGACGACGACGAGTCGGTGGAAATGTGCGATAAACGAAATAAAAATACGAAAATACGAAAATACAATAATTAAAGTAAAGCAGAAACCAGTCACAAAGCGGCACTCGGCGAGGCCTCGCAGCGGAAAAGAAAGCAGACCCCCCCCCCCCACGAACCGGAAGTGGCCGGGGCTTCTGAAAAACTCAAATTCAAATCGAAAGCCCAATTCGATATCCGTCAAATACTTTGAATGGAAATTGGCACAGTGAATCAGAGCAGACCAGATGGAGATGGAGATGGAGATGGAATTGGAGATGGTGATGGCGATGACGATGACATTTCAACGCTAATTATAATAAAAATAACAATAACAACAGCTGCCACTTGAATCTGCAAGATTATCTGCCCCTGCCACTGCCGACTCTCGGGTCTCCCGGGTCTCTCTCTCTCTCTCTCTCTCTCTATCTCTATCTCTGTGTCTCTGGGCTGTCATCGACTCGGCTTTGGATGATATTGCCACTTGCTGGCTGCTGGCTCCGCCACTTGCAAATGAGCTTGAGACCCAGAGACGACAGCAGCCGACTCAAGCCCCGACTTTGGGCCGCTGCTCCACTCGGATGTGTGTGCTGATCGTCGAACAAAGACGCCTCTACAGTGGGACCAGGGCTTTGGGTACCGAAAGGCGTTCGTGGGGAATATCCCGACGATAAGCGAGCATATCTGCAGATCGGTCGGTGGGTTTGCTGGAGTTTCTTTGGGGGGTTTTCCAAAATATATTTCATAAATGGTAATACATATAATTATAATAGATTTAAGCAGCTCCCGAAGCATCCCACAAGTCTATCTGCACCACTCAAGCCATACCCAAGTCCAAGCCCTCTTGTTTTGCTTCTCGGACCACTGTGCCACGCCACCCACACACACACACACACACACACACATGCAGCCGGGAGAGGCAGAGCAATTGCCATTGCAATTAGCAGCTCAACTTGAGAGGCGTTGGAGGTGGAGGGTGTAGGGTGGAGGGTGGAGGAGGGCCTGAAGTGGTGTTGGAGGCTGTCTGGTGCTCGGTGCTCGGTGCTCGGTGCTCGGGGAAGACGTATTGGGGCTAAAGCTGATTTGCCTCTCGATGGCCCGCTGATTAATTTCTTTTTTATGCTAACTAAGCGGCACTCAGTCCCAGCCCCAGTCCCAGCCGCCGCTCCGTAACGCATTGCGTCGCATCTGTCCCACTGTGCACAGCAGACCCGAGTAGTATCTGTGTGTGTGTGTGTGTGTGTGTGTGTGTATCTGTGCCCGTTTATCTGGCAGGTGACAAAACCAGTTGCGATTGCTAATTGCGCTTAAACTTTGATTGCTATTGTGACTGCCGCCTTTCGGGGCAGCGCAGAGTGGTGGACGGGGGGTGGTGGGGGATCAGTGGATCAGTGGCTTACCCTGCGCATGTAGCAGCGGGTGGTGGTGGTGCGGATGGTGGTGCGGCGGCATTGGAGGCGGCGGCACACCACCGGCCGCATGCGAGTGCGGATGCGAATGCGAATGCGGATGCGGATGCGGATGCCCTCCGTGCGGATGGTGCGGCTGATGCTGATGCTGATGCTGATGGTGGTGCTGGTGCACGGCGGCGGCCAGCTGGTGGGGCATGAAGGCGGCCGCCACCGCTGCATGGGCGTTGAAGTAGGCCATGCGGGAGGCGGCTGCCATGGTCATTTGATGGTGATCCCTGTAGTGGTGCTGGTGGTGCTGCTGCTGATCCATCGCCGATGACATACTGTCACCCACCGCTCCACTTCCGGTGGCCGCTGTTGCTGTGGGGCCTGTGCCTGTTGTTGCCACTGCTGCGGCGGTGTTGTATGTTGTGGCCACTGCTGCTGCCGTTGTTGCTGTTGTTGCTCCTCCGGCAGCTGTTTTTGGCGATGCCTGGCTGCTGGCGGCTGTTGTCAGATCCGTTGGCGTCTCGCAGGTGGCCACGGTTTCCGCTTCCGCCTCCGTTGTGGTTGTTGCCGCTGCCGCCACGGCCAGTCCGAGCAGCTCCTGTATGGCAAAGGGCGAACGCTGCGGCATCGCTGCTGATTAATCGATTGGCTCTGCCTCAATTGTTCTGCCTGTGTTCTGTGTTAATGCAACATTTTCGCGGTTTCCCGCTCAAAGAGAACTCTCTCTTCGCTCTTCGCTCTCCCTCTCTCTCTCTCTCTCTCTCCCTCCCTCTCTCCGTGTGGCTCCCAGCGACTCCTGTGGCACCAGAGGCACCTAAAATGCCGGCCCAAAATCCCGCTAAACTGCACTTGAACCTACGATGCGGGGCCGAGCACTAAAAAAATTGATTGCTTCGAGATTTGCGATTTGCGAGATTTGTGAGATTTGCGAGATTTGCGAGATTTGCGAGATTTGTGGCACGCGTCGTTGTCGCTGTCGCTGTCGCAAAAACACACAACAAATTCGCAATAATTTCCACGTTAAACTGTTGCCTGACTTAATGTGCACCAGGAGTTTTGTCGTCGTCGTCGTCGTCGTGAAAAGCTAACGTTGCCGTTGCCGTTGCCGTTGTCGTTGCCGTTGCCGTTCCTGGTGGTTGGGCCCCGGCCAGAAGGCATTCAGCGGCACGGCCAACACACAACGGTAAACGGCTACGGCCACGGCAACGGAGCTGGCGAGGACCTGAAACCATCATCGCTGCCAGGCGGCAGGCAGAACATGCCACTGCCACTGCGCCACACCAGTAGCAGCAGCAGCGGCAGCAGCAGCGGCAGCAGCAGCGGCGGCAGCAGCGTTGGCAGCACGACGACTGCGCTGCCCCGCAACGGTAAATCCAACGGCAGCGTCAGGGGCGGGCTCAGTCGCGCGGCGAGCATCGGGTGGCCCTGCTCGCACAGCCGCGAGTGCGAGCGGCGCGGCTAGCCCGAGCACTTCCCCTGCCCGACGGGAGGCCAACATGGCGCATGTGCGCGCCGCGCTCTGCCTGGGCCAGAAGAGAGCGGCGATGGTCGAGCCCGAGCAGCTAGCGGGCCCGCTCTGGCGCACGCGGCCGCTTCCAGCGCACTGGAACGCTTCCAGTGTGTGTGCCAGGCCTCGTGGTGTGCGTGCCCGCGCTGCGAGTGTGTGCGTGCCGCCTCTGCAAGTGTGTGCGGAGCCCATTTTGTGTGTGCGAGGGCTCGGGACGGGACGGGACTCTTTCTCGATGAAGGACGCCAATTTATAGTCCCAAAAACGAGCGGAGTCCAGGTCCGATTCCGAGTAAAACTAAAACTAAAAATTATATGTATGCAGCTCTGTTCGGGTCTTCGCTGTGACATGCCCCAAGCCACCCTTCGATCCGCTCCATGCCTAACAATGAGGACCCAAAAAAAGCAGTCTAATTACAATTTTCGTACAACTTTTACTATTAAAATGCGTAAATTAGCATTTACACAGCCCGCTCTCCGGTTCGGAGTCTGCCCTTGTGTGTGTGTGTGTGTGTCAGAGCAGGAGGAGGAGAGTCCTTGCTGCGCAGTCAGCAAATTTTAGAGAACTATGGGAATCGGAATTGGAAAATTCGGGGAACGGCAGACAAAAGCTGAGCGCAGGGGACTAGAACAGAGCTTCGGCTTTACCCCCCCGCGTGCAGCAATTGACTTCAAGTTGAGAACTGCTTCAGGGGAGCTGCTGTCCTGAAGGATCTCGGCCTATGCTCTACGGATTGGGCTGAAACTCAGGCATTCGCTGGTGGGCAGCCCCAGATGCTTATAGCCGTCGGAAATCATGGAGTAACTTGCTCTGATCCAAAATAAATAGATATTCCAAGACTCGACCATGATGGAGGTGTGGAAACAATGGAAATTAGAAAGCTTTGTTCAGCAAGCGGATCAGCAGCTTGCCAATTGGCATACAACGGGTCTTTCAAGCGGGGCTTTTCTCACGCCCCCCATGGGTCCGCGGAGGGAGGCCCACGCGCGAGCTTCTGTCGCAATTAAACAATTGAAATGCCAGAGCCCCTGCCCCTGCCCCTGCCCCTGCCACCACCATTCCTATGGCATTTGTCGGATCCGTCGGGCCACGCAGTCTGGCAGCGATGGATGCCGTCGGGGCTGCGCAGGCGCGATGCTCTCAGAGCTGCCACTCGCGGAGTGCGTACTAGAGGAGAGAGGAATGTGGCTGTGGTAATTCGATATTTTGTGAGCAGGTTGCAGGATCCGCAGGATCTGGAGCAGGCAGCGAGAGGCGGATGATTCATGCGAGAGCGGAGCCAGTCTTTAGAGCGAATTCGTTTATTTACAGGAATTTGATTGTTAATTAACTTGCAATTACAATCGCAGGGGATCGGAGATTGGAGATCGGCTGTCAAAATAAATATTGAGTTTCCCCCGAGGGGCGATTAGTGATGATTGATCCGTAGTCCGTAACGCGATATCTTGTGTGTGTTTTGGCATAGTTTCTCTAGTTTTCCCCCGGCACATCCTCTGCAGCTTCCCACCTGGCGGCCATTGGCTACAGTTCTCGCCTGCTCCACTCGCATTTCTGTTTGTTTGTTTGTTTGTTTGTTTTTGCTCGGCCCTTGGCTTGGATTGTCCTTCAAGTTCCAAGAAGCTCTGTCCCGGATTCCACCTTCTTCATTCTTCATTGTTTTGCAAATATTTTGACGTGCGATTCTCTCACACAATGAGAGGATAGCCCCCGCCGACTACCTGAGGAGTGTCGGTCTGGTCGTTGCCTCCATGCTCCATCCTTCGAGCTCCACGGCCGATACCGGGTGCCCTGTCTGGAGCTGCGAACTGCTTGAACTGCTCTTCACGTTTCTGGTAGTTGACATGGCCCGCCGAATGATTCAATTATGACGATTGAGGCCCGCCGCTCAAGTGCGAAAGTTGACCAAAATCCCCAACAAATCGATGCCGAATCCGCAGCCAAAACCAAAACCAAAACCAAAGTGTTCGAATGTCAATTAAGTGTCGAGTTTTATTTACTTAACTATTATTGTCTTGGGACACAATCAAAATTGGACAAACTTAATTATGAACAATTAAAGTTCAGTTGCTTTTTGTGTAGGCTTCCCCCCCTCCCCCACTCCCCCACTCCCGCACTCCCCCACCGATTATTTTTGGGCAATAACTTCAGATTCGAGTGATGGCCGACAGACAGGCCCCATCGAGGGACGCCTTCAAGAGAGCCGTTGTAAGACTTGCCAAAAACCGAAAACCAAAAACCGAAAACCGAAAACCGAATCGAACATTCAGCCTTTGTTGCTGCACATTGTTGTGTAATTAAGTTGTTTCGCTGTCGGCCACAAGTGCGTTCAACAAATCTTGTTAGCTCTTGGAGTCGCAGCTGGGGGAGGGGTGGGGCTGGGTGAGGAGCTGGGGGATCAGACAATATTATTGTCACACAATTGTTGCCGTGTGATTAGTTGAAACTTTAATTGCCGCACAATGGCATAATAGCAACGATAATGCCCCAAAGCCCCAATGGCTAAACGACACTTAAAAAAGGCACTGGGACCGAAAATTGGATACTCTAAAGGAAAGGTGGGGATAATACGGGGTCTAAAATATATAAACAGATCAAAGAATGCGGCTTCAAGGGCCAAGCAGAATGTCCTGTGGCAGGGCTCTTACTAAGACTTTCAGCTGGAATCTTGGAAGCCTTATTGAGCTTCAAGCCGCAGGGGGAACCGGCTGTACCCTAAGAAAGTGTATAGGGAGAAGGGGGAGCGGGGGAGCGGGGGCACACTGTATTAGCCCTGAATTGTGATCGTCATTATCATTTGACCATTATTTATTATGGCTGATGCTGTTGGTGGTGCCTCGGCCATTGTTGCCTTTGTTGCCTTTGTGTTGCTGCTGATTTCGCGTTTAGTTTTCAATTATTTAATTGTCTATTTGGGGCCGGGCCCCTCCGCGCCGCATTGTCTCTGCGTCGCTCGGGTAACGTGAGAAAATTAATTTCTGCCATTATTTGGGCAGAGGTGAACGAATCCAATCGCAAAGTTTTCGCTGCGATTCCCTGCCCACAGAGGGCGCCACTGCAGGGCCCCTTTTATGGCTAATTTTCGCGCTGCCGAAGGCAATCAACGCCACTGCCGCTGGTTCGTGTCTCCGCTAAGCGCCGCCCCGAACTGCGACCGCAATTAGGAAAACTTTTCGAACTATCCGCATAATTAGCAGCTAGTTAGGCTTAGTTACTGGCCCAAAAGCCAGTAGTGAACTAGTGACTGTCTTGGCCGGAGATGGTTGTTGTGCTGCGAAGGTTCCCCGAATCCCACTAATCCCTGGCCAGATCCAGGCAGTGGCAGGCCTTGTTTGTTAACAGGATTATCTGCACTAATTTCCATCTATCTGCGGGCAGGGGGGGGGGAGGGGGAATACTTGATCGTTTGTATGGGGCGAAGTGCGAGAGAAAAGTGATTTATCATTTGAGAACACTCGAGAGTGAGGATGCTCTGACAAGGGTTGGGCCTGGCCCTCGGCCTCGGCCTGTCTTTTGCCCTATGTGTGTGCTACCGAAGTGGCCGAAGAGTGTGCTCGACAATGACGACGAACCAATTTATGGGACAGGCCGGGCAGACAGACGACGGGCACTTGAATAAACCGAAAGGCAAACACTACACCACGAGAGGGATAGTGATGGATGGATAGACTGAGCCAGGAGCCAGGAGCCAGGAGGGCAGAGGAGAGAGAGAGAGAGACAGCGGAGGTGTGATTAGGGGTGGTGGCGGCTGATTCCAATGGTGGTGGCCTGCCTGCTGGTGGTTGTAGTTGCCCCTGAGGTAAATTAGAAAATAAGCAACAAAAAACGCAAAGGCAAAATAAATTAGTGGCCGACACACCGGCAAAATAAGGGAACGGGAACGCATCGCGAGGGGTGTGAAATCCAAAATGGCCGAAACGACGACAACTACAGCGTCGGCTCTTGAATTTCAATTGAAGTGTAACAGAAGAAGTAGCCAGGCGCGGCCCGCCGCTGGGTCTGGAGCGGCACACAGGCCTGCCAGCTCGATGGCCGCCACACTGAGAGAAACTGTGAGGGCTTTCTGCTTGCCCCAGTCCCAGTGCCAAGTCTTTCCCCATTCCGCAGGGACAAGGAGTTTGTGGGTTGAATGGAACATATGGATGGATAGCCTCTGAAGGGAGGCGTACAACCCTACACTGACTGCGAAATCCTTCATTTTCGATCGACTCACTCGGGCCTTCGCGCAGTGCACTGCCCTGGACGG